TCTCTGACACCAATTTGTTTTTAATTTCCAGTAGAAGTTCTTTCTGAGGAACTTCAGCGATACAAGTCCTTTCTTGATTAAACCAGTTTAGTCTTTCTCGATACAAACTTTTAGTACACAGTAATTCCACAGTCAGTACGTTTCTACTTTTATAATACATGCTATAAATCGCAGCGACTCACAACCTCGATAACTTTTCTCTCTATGAGTGCAAAACATACAATTTACAGCTCCCTAGCTCGAAACTAACAGAATCGTTAATTACACAGAAATCACTGTAACTACTGTTCGCTTAACCATCAATCCTTCGGCTTTTCTCTGCCAGGCTTATATACTAACAAAGAGGCGTCTCTCGATCACACTCAAACTTCCCTGATAACTCAAGGAGCTCAGTCACGCACGCTCCCAGCGTCACGTGACTTCTCCTGTCGTAACAATATTAATGAATAATTTTCCCCTTTCTTGGATAACAAGTGCAGACTATGGCATGGTATTGCAAAACATGGGTTTTATCAGTAATAAAAAATTGAAATACATTCATGGTGTTCACTGTGAGTTTGATTAATAATCCTATTGACCTTGAGAAAATAAAAATTAGCTCCAGTGAGTGTTTTCGATGCTCAAGCTCTTGCTTTCAATACAGTTTTTACTGTAAGATAAAGCTTAGTCTTACCTGCTTTGCAAATCAAAGATTTACTACTTTGCATGCACAGGTGACCACCATATGCCCAAGGCTCCAAGAGAGTACCTTCTTCTAAATTTTCATGATCCAGTAGCATTTGCATACAAACAGAAAGGTACGAAAAATAACAGAGAGTTCACCTTTGTGATAAAAAATAACTCTAAACTATAGGATTTGTTAAGTAAATGTTCAAACAAAAAACGTATGCCAAGAGAGACTGTATTCTCCGAGTTTGGCAGAGTCGTGAAGAATGAAAGAGAATAAACACAGTGAAATAATCTTCAGTTGTCCTACAAAACAAACGTGACGAGTGTAAATGAAGAACGATGCCTTTATTGGAGGGTCAGAGTTCTAAGAAATAGTGTAAATAAAAATCTGTCAAACTCCTGAGAAAAATCTGTTTCAGGCTAATCAAATATACCTCTGTACACAATAAACAATAACACTATTATTCCCAGGGCATATACACTACCCACTTCACTGTTAGTCATTTCCATTATAAAATTATATCACCTGTCTCGTCATTGGAAAAGATCACTGTCTACTTTCCAATAGTATGTACTAATTTAAAGACACATTTTCTACACGAAGGTGTAACCCAGGACAATAGGTAAATAGGATGAAAGGATGGTTTGGTTTGTTTTAAATTGTACGCAAAGCTACATGAGGGCTATCTGTGCTAGCCATCCCTAATTTAGTGGTGTAAGACTATAGATAAGGTTATAGGTCATCACCACCAACCGCCAACTCTTTTACCAAAGAATAGTGGGATTGACCATCAAATTATAATGCCCCCACAGCTGAAAGGGCGAGCATGTTTGGTGTGATAGGGATTTGAACACGCGACCCTCAGATTGCGAGTCGAGCTACCTGACCACCTGGCCATGTTGGGCCCAGGATGAAAGGAACTTAATCACTTCCTTGGCTAGTTCTATGCTAAGCATACATTCATAGAAATTTAGTTAAACAAAATAAGTAGAAAACACCTATAATATAAATATATGTTTCTATATAAACTTCTCAGACTTACAGCCCGAAATTTTAACCGATGAATTCGGTTTTGCATATATAAATATGGAAATATATTTTGAAAAACTCCATAATACCACAGTGAACCAAATGATCTAAAATATAAATTTTTACTACTCAGATGTAAACAGTTGATTTACATAAGTAAAATGACAAAGATTATTCTTATCAACTACATGAAATATAAGAAATTATATTAACAGCTCACTTACTTGACAAGTTACCCTTAACACTGATTGAACATTATTCTATATTAACCATGAAAAAAAAACATAGTACCTTAATGCAATGCCTCCCCATTGAGTAATTACACAGGATGCTTTTTTTATTTTTATGATTGCCATATTGAACCTGATCAGCAAAAATTATGAATTGTATAAAGTTAACACTTACATCACTTCCTTCTTTCAATGGGATATTAGTTATCATGGTTTACTGTTTTGATGTAGTAAATAGATAAGAATGGCCTTATGGTGGATAGGAATAGTCTTAACTTGTGTTATTTAATTCTGCTATTTATAAAAAGTACTTTAATTATATAATATAAAGAACTAAAATATTCCTGATTATAAAAAACTTCAACATATATTTATCTGTTAAACATAAATATATTTTACAGAAAAATAAAATATACTTGAGTTCAGTAGTGTAATATCATCCCATAACGTGCTACAGGTGTAAACAATTTTCAGGGTAATCCATTATTGGCTGATTGACTACTACATGACGTTACATCATCGGTCAAGGGGTATCAGAGTTCGGTAGTGTAATATCATCCCATAACGTGCTACAGGTGTAAACAATTTTCAGGGTAATCCATTATTGGCTGATTTACTACTACATGACATTACATCATCGGTCAAGGGGTATCATATTTTATCCACCAACTGTTAGTGAAGACAACTATAAAATGTTTTTTAGAATGCACCATTTGTTGGTATGTACCGGTTATATTGTTGGTATGTACTGGTTATATTACTTAAGTAAAATGACAGTTCTCGGTATTTTATCAAAATTGGTCCATCGGGTTATGAGAAATTGTCTGAAAAAGACTGAACATGATATCGTGTTGACCATCTGTTATTCCTCTTTCAAAATAGTGCACTTCTGGTTGTGCATGTTCAATGATACTGCTTAAATTCATGGGAAAAATTATGGAACAGATTATTATATATGCTATAAAAATATTTACAAAAACTACTATATCTTCTTTTCACCAAAGGTAAAATTTAAAATATATGATATAGAAGCCTAATTTTCAATTTTACATTTGGTGAAACGAAATTTGTAATATCATCATTAAAGAGTTGGTAATCTTAATAATATCGAATAACAAATTAAGTTCAATGACACACCTAAATTAATTTAGGTTACTATATGATGAGTTAAAAGGGATTCAAAAACCCCATCAATTTGACTACCTCTTATTTAAAACATACAAATGCATTTAATAAAAAAACATTTATAATACAAATTTGCAAGTTGATTCATAATTTACTATATTTTATCTATTTTTTCATGCAAAATCTTATTTTCCCAAAGATATTTTTTACTTTAACAAAACTGTATAATTTTATGCTCCATGCTACAGACTTTATCAAAGGAAACTGCTGCTACACTGGTAATGCATTATGCTCGTTTCTAAAAGAACTTAATCGGTCGTCTTGCACTTTGAATTTGATAATGACAAACTTGAGGAATTAAAACAAAAGAAGAAACGTATATTTTTAATGATATTACCCATATGTGAAAAAGTGTGAATCACTTAACTTTTAAAGCTAAGTAATATATTTAATTTTCCTTGTTACTATACCTGTAATAATGTACAAACCTGCCTAAGCTGGCAAAGAAAGAAATATCATTAAGCATATATATAGTATAATTACATCAATATTTGTATTTTCAAATAATTCACATACATTAATTAATTAAACTTATTCAACTACACAATGTCTACATTTGCATCAGTAAGCCAAAAAAACACATTTCATTCTTTTTTCAATGGTTTTATTTATATATGAAATCATTTTTTGGTGATTACTTGTCAAACTGTACAAATGTTTTTAGGTTATTAATGGGCTGTTCCTTTTCTTCCATGTTCCATTAGAGGAGAGAATATTGTAAACTGTTGTTTGTATTATCAAGAGAAACCGTATCTTGTTAACAAAACTATTAGTAACTTATTTCTAAACTGTTGTTTGTATTATCAAGAGAAACCGTATCTTGTTAACAAAACTATTAGTAACTTATTTCTAAACTGTTGTTTGTATTATCCAAGAGAATTGTTTGTTGCTAAGCGCAAAGATACACAATGGGCTATCTGTACTGTGCCCACCATGAGTATGAAAACCTGGTTTTTAACAGTGTAAGCCTTCAGAATTACCACTAAGCCACTGCAGGGCTACCCAAGAGAAATATATCATACTTACAAAAGTAACAGTTACTTATCAGTAAATTGTCATTTGTATTACCAACATAATATTGTATTTTTTTCACAATTAATATGTAAACACAAGATATTGATGCAAACAACACAAAAATGTGGATACACTGACAGAAGTACACTTTCAGTGTACTTCTGTCAGTATATTACAACAAAGTTAGAAGTACATTAACAGTAACAATAATATGAAAGTGTACTTCTGTCAGTGTATTACAACAAAGTTAGAAGTACATTAACAGTAACAACAATATTTCATACTGTTACTGTTAATATAATTGTAAGTTTGTTGGGATACAATGACAGAAGTACACTTTCATATTGTTGTTACTGTTAATGTAATTCTAAGTTTGTTGTAATACACTGACAGAAGTACCCTTTCATACTGTTACTGTTAATATAATTGTAAGTTTGTTGGGATACAATGACAGAAGTACACTTTCATATTGTTACTGTTAATGTAATTCTAAGTTTGTTGCGATACAATGACAGAAGTACACTTTCATATTGTTACTGTACTTTTAACTTTGTTGTGATATTTTGTTGTCACTTATTTTATTTACAAAGACTTTTAATAAAATACTATACATAATATTCATTACATGTGTAACAAAATATCTTTCCTAAAATTTCAAATCTGTTTTTTAAGTATAATTATTATTATTATTTTAGAGACTTTAAAATGTGAAATTACACACACACACATGGTTCTAGCCTCATTGGTTTAAGACTGAACTTAATAATCTGTTGCATGCAATCTTTAATCAGCAATGATGTAATATGAACATCTACTTCAGTTTCACGTGTTTTACAATTCTATTACTCAGACACTTAGAGAATTTGGAATGAATAACTCAAGGAAGTGATTGACTTGTAACTAAAGAAAGTGGACCCACTACCATATAAGTTTACTTGCTGTACATCATTATAACAAAATAAAGTGGACCCTCCACCCATAATTTTACTTGCTGTACATTACTGTAACTGTTTGTCCCATATGCTTATTAAAGACAATCAACTTCTACTAGTACTTAAGTAAATGATGGTAAGATACACATTCTTCAATATCTTCAACAGTTTGAGAAGTATCCTATCTTTCATTCAAAACATCCTTACAGCTTGTCTGCTCTGTTTCATTCTTGTTTTGCTTCAACTGTAAGAACATTATTTGATCCAATCTGAAAAGTTAAAAATGTAACACATATCAACTTCATAGAGAAAATAAATCAAAACAGTTTCAAAAAAGATTTTGTTTGTTTCAAAGGTAAACATTATTGAATATATAAAGTATTTTCTCAGACTGGAGTGTAAAGTTCAAACCTTACAAACACAGTTGTTTTTAAAAATTAAATCTGTGGTGTGGAAACCATCGATACTCGGCGAAACTCCATTTTTACAGAATTGAATGAAAAACAAAGACAATTGTACGTGAAACATACAATTGTCTTTTTTTCTCAATTCTGTAAAATATTAACCTAACATTATTCGTTTAAGCAGCTCTTACACCAGTCAAAAACCAAGTACGTGAAGCTAGCAAGAGTTCAAAACTAACAATACTGTATAAATATTTATGAGAGACAGGTGGAAACCTTTGCCACATTTTTCTTATGATACAGAAGCCTACTACTTAAATAGAGGCCTGATAAGGGTCTTGTAATGTGTACTACTCTGATTAAATAGAAAACTAAAATTTTCTTACTGAGCTATCATAGCTTCATTTTCCTGCAAAATGTTCCACAAACCAGACTGGCTTTCCTGTAGTTCCATTACACTGAAACAGACAATCATTAGCAAAATTAAAAGGACAGCTAACTTTTAACCAAAAATATTAACAAGAAAACACTGAAAATTTGTAACTACAGATTCAAAAGTTTCAAACTTCTAACAAAAGTTAGAGTAGTCAAGAAACTTAAAACTTCCAATTCTCTTTAGAGAGAATAATTTTTTTTTACAATCTTAAGTAGTGACTACTCAAAGAAAGGAATATTTCAACTTTTTTTTCAACTTCCTATGAATGATTACCATGAATTAAGAAATTCCTTGCAAATAAAGACATTATGCAGAGTTATTAATATGCAGGAGTCCTCCTGTAATATTTTGCCAAAACTTAAAGAAATCATACAAATATTAATCTACATGTACAAAAAGAGGACAGTGTGGAACAAACGTTTTTATTAATGTTTTATGAAAAGAAACTAAAAAAAAATGAGCATCATATTGTTAATTCTTAAGTAAATATAGAACTAGTTCTGCGTACTCTGGAAAAATCTTACAAAAACTATATATTACACCTTGTAAGTAGAAGTGCAAGTACATTATAGGGAAAAGAAAAAATTTATCTAACAAAAAATTATTTCATGTATACTTATTACATTTATTCATTTTTCAAAAAACATAATCAATTCACAAATGTTATTTTTACATGAAATCTGTATCAGATAAACTGGAGTGAATGAGGCAAAATATTTCTGAGTTTTGTCACTTCAATTAGGCTTATTGGTTTCCAATGCTTTACCAGCTTTGAGCAGTAAAAACTACAATTTCATACATCTTCTTCAAAACTACAACTTTATTCTCTGACATTTAGTATATGCTACAGTATCTGTGTTAAGTTATAATTTTCTTATACTGAAAATGTATTTCCAGTAGGTACTATCTCTTCTCACATAAATATCTATTCTTGTTCATTTCTGCCCTCTGTATGCAAATGTTTTTTGCATATCACAAGCCTTGAGCTCCCACTTACCCAAAGATCAACTTGGTTCAACCACGTCTCGCATGCAAATCATCATGTGACAACTCTCCACCAACAGGAGTGTGACACACCCTCCTGACATATGTGACTCTCTCTTTTCACTTCTACCAAACTATCACTTCAAGATCTGGCAGAAAATGGAAGCACCAGTTTTCAGTGGGGAGGAAGGGTGGGAATGTGTGAAAGGAGGTAAGCACACATCGGAAATACATTTTCAATACAGGAAAATTATAACTTCCAATACGGTACATTACCTTTTCTCATATAAATAGCTAGAATCTCACACTGAATAGGTGGAGGGACCAGTGAGAGGAAAAGAAAGAAGCATCCTTCGAAATCATCCAAAGGATACCCTTCACAGTAGAGGATCATATATGGGAAACTGCATCATTTCTGTACCAGATATATTCTTTGCCCAGTGTGGAAAAAGGTGTCACAGATTTGGGTGGAAATTGGGAGGAGCAAATCCAAAAGGGAGAGAACAATGGTTGGACAGGGATCCGAACCACACAATATGGGAATCTCAATCCCATAGTGTAGATCAATGTAGGGGGAAAGTAAAATGATTTGCCTCTAGGTGTAAAGTGGCTAGGGCATGAGGAACCATACATAGCAAGCCAACTTCATCCAAACCCAGCCACCAGGAGCCAACATCCATGTGGGAGTAGAATGAGGATCATACTGTCGTTAAGTCAACTACAATCCAAAACCCAGCCACCGGGAACTGACACCCTTGTGGATGTACGAAAGAGGATCATACCAACAGTAAGTGAACTGTAATCCAAAACCAGCCATCTGGTGGGGATAGGAAAGAGGATCATACCATCTTCACCTCAAGTTCAGAAGACCGGAATGAATCTCATACCCCCTGATTTATGAACGGGACACATGACAGCAATATGATAAATTGTTTGAATGCTTCAGAAACCCAACATCCGGACGACTGGTATAGTAAAAATGTCTCTGCAATGTAAACTATCACACTCAAAACTAATCCAACAGGAACCACCCCCAATGCAATAACATCCTCAGTATAAGAAAATCATCGAGGGATAACATAAGAGGAAGAACCATATTAATCTGCAAGTTCCATCGCCATGACCCACAACATGGGTGGAGGGAACAAGAGTGTAATTGAGTGAGGAAACAGCTATAATACATGTGGGAGGACTTATACTGATTGATTTCAGCTCTGACACCAAAACTCAGCCACAGGGAATCAACATTCATGTGGGGGTAAGATGAGGGATCCCAAATAAAGGGGTGAACTGCAGTTTTTACAGCTACCTCCAAAGCTACAACATCTGCTCAGATAGACCTGTATAGAAATGGAACGTCAGACTAGAGGACATCTCGTCATCTACAACAGTAGAACACCACCACTCTACTCTCAACTGAAGAGTTTCATTATTGTTTGTATTGTATATCACTATCACATACAGGTGGATGACTCCATGGTCCACCACTCCAATGGCTTGGAACTGGAAGGTGGTAAGAACTCCCATACTCCACTGGAAGAAAAAAAGGGGAGAAAATGCAGTGGAGTGTCCAGAGAAACATCCACACCAGACATGGTGCAATGGGTGACAACAAAACCCTATTTTGAAAACAGACCAAACCTCACTTATTCAATCTAAAGAATGGCATGGATGGGCAGCTATCCCCTTCTGCTGTACCCATGAAATCCATGGGTTAGTATGGTCCAGAAAGGGCATATTTATGAAGAAAATATATCCTTAGGAATAACCAACGAGTGATTTTGTGAAACACTCATTCTCAATATTTGTATTTAGTAGCCATGTAAATTATAACTGTTAAGTCACCATGGCCTTACAGATTTCACTAGCTTAAGTATATCTGGACAGGCATCACTTGCCACAGAGTGGAATTCAAAGAGAAAAAAAAAGAGGAAATGCCCCTGAAAAATAATAGGTAAAAAAGGTATCTTACCCAGTCACAGCCTCACCGAAGAGTGAAGGATGGCAACAGGTGGAAGATAGTACCCTAACTAGGAAGAAAAAGTTACCCAAAACAGATAATGGCAGATAAATGTATGAGGTGTAGTCCAAGTGCTCGTCAGAAACAGTACCTCTAAGATACAATGAGGGTGAGATGCAGGTGGAATGGAAGGTGCCTAATAAGAGTGAAGACACCAGGAATTGATTATGGAGAAAAAGGATACAAGGAAGAAAACGGCTAACCAAATCAAAAGCCAATTCCAGAGGGTAAGGGAGGAGGGAAAAAGTCACAGAGGAGTGGTGCCAGGAAAAGAAACCAACAGAAAAATGCTTTGAAGGCAATGAAGCAACCCAGAGCAGGTATGGGATATAGAAGGCCAACCAGATCCAACTGGGATTAATGGTGGGAGATGGAAGGAAACAAAAAGGATAAATATGCCCCACAAGCTGCCAAAGAGGAGGGTAGGAAAAATCAATTCAGAATAAAAGGACAGATCGAGCTGAAGCAGCTGAGAAAAGCAGATCCGTGTTGGCCAGGAAAGAGCAATCAGATAGACTGAAACAAAGTGGCAAGGATGAACAAAATCACCCATGGAAGATGATGAATGGGATGAGAAAATACAGGTATAAACAGGTCCCAATCCTGTCTGAAAGCATTGACAGCCAAGGCAAGTGGATGAGGAACTGAAGACAAAGACATACAGACCTGAAACAATCTCAAAGGGCAAGGCACAAAACTAGTACCCAACCCCATGGCGAACAAACTTAAGACAGTGCCAGAGTGCTGAAAAATAGGAACATGGGTAGATGAACACGAAACATTAACTGTAGGCATCCTCAGTCCTGGAGAAAAGGTCCACTATAGTGTGATAAAAAATAATATGGGAAAAAGGAAAAGAACCAAGAAGTGATTGAGGTGGGATAGATCCATCATAGAACTCCAATCTGGATTGAGAATACACAACTAATGGAGGAACTCTTAGATGTAGGATAAATATATGATGGGACGATGCTGTACATGGAACATGAATAAAGAATGCAATGTCCAACGAGACAAATGAGCACCCAAAAAAGAAAAAAATCGAATGCAGCAATGAATGCCCCACATGATGCTAAAGTAAAAGGAGTAACACCCTCCCCCCCAAAAAAACAAAACAAAAATGGATCAGTGGAGGAAAAGAGCCGTCCACAAGTCCCAATTAAAAGTGGAAGGGAAACAAAGTTGGTACAAGACAGTGTCCCACCCCAGAAGACCCCAAAACCAAAAAAGGCACATTTGTATGGAAACAGCTGAAAATGGCAATTGCCTCAACATGGAGGTAAGTATCCCAAGAAATAGATGGAACACCTCAGAAAGGAAATGTATGGTGGCCAATACCAGTAGGAGAGGCAATATGGGAAGACAAAGGCTGGGGAGAAAGGAGATACGATTAACAGATTATGCCCCCATACAGGAAAAGTGTGGAGAAGCAAGAAAACAATCTGCCTGATGGTAAGCTAAGGCAAAATAAACCAAAGACTGTGGAGAGCAAGGCATGCCAGCACCATCTCTCAAAAGAGAGACAAAAAGGCTCAGCATGAACCAAAATGTCTGGAAAAGGATGAAAAAAAACCAACAACCATGACACGTGTATAAAAACGGCTGAGGTAGGCCTAGCAGACTCTGCAGTAGAGACCTGGGAAGGCCAATTCAGAATCAGGTGAAGGAAAATTATCAAAACAGATGTTGTCTAGAACAAGTTTGGCAGTTTGAGGAGGAAGGCGAGCAATAGTGAGAGGAGATTAGGCAGACCCCAAGCCCAGGGATCCTGAAAGATGAAATTAAGTGTAAGAAGTATAAAATATAATTAATTACGAAAATGAAAAAGTCCTCATATTGTAAAATTAAGTAAGTGTATATTGAGAATAAATATTTTAGTAGATGGTATTTGTTGAAGAAACAATATATTTAACCTAATTTATAATTTACCAGTAATATGAATGACAGGTAAACCTAAAATTACAAAGACACATGTCAAGCCTAAATTAACATTGTAGTACAAAAGGATATCACAAATGTTTATTAAAAAACCCTAACCTTAAAAGAAGTAGGTATAAATCTAATTAAACATATGTTATTGAAACCAAATAACTACAAATAATAATATTAATATCAAAATATTCAAAAAGCTATAATAGTATAACAGCTGATCTTTTCAAAGTCGGCAGATGCAAATGTGTAGACCAACAAACGTCATCTTATATAACGATCAATCTCTCAATGTATTAAAGCTGACAATTCCTCAGTCAAGTACTGCCACCTGAAACCTAGGTAAGTGTGCTGGAAGTAAATTATAGCATTTTCGAAGATGAAGAACAATAAAGGTAAGTTATCACTTAAAACAGGTAAAGTGAAGCAGAAAAAAAAGAAAATAAAATATCTCCACTTTGTATGAAATTTCAAAAAAGAAACATGGGAAAGAGCAGAAACAAAAACGTCTTGACGACAGCACTGCCAAACAAGAAATGATAGTTCGGTAGAATCGATTAGAAGAATCACATGCGTCAGGAGGGTGTATCACACTCCTATTGTTGGATGATTTGCATGCAAGACACAGCTGAACCACATTGATCTTGAGGTACGTGGGAGCTCTAGACTTGTGGTATGCAAATAAAATTTTTTCATATAGAGGGCAGCACTGAACAAGAATAGCTATTTATGTGAGAAAAGGTAATGTAGCATATCGGAATGATAAATGGCTAAACATAATTCAAATTTATCTATCTAACAGACATAATCATACATTTCACTTTTAAAACAGGACAATAACCATCCTAAAACCAAAATACTTAAGGAAGTCATGAAAAACTACAATTTCACCATAGTTAAGCACCATTCATATACCCAAACAGATGAATAAGCTTACCATACGGTTTGATCTACCTTTCATCATGCCCTCTTCTCAAATCTTAAAAAATTTCTTGAGTTGTTCAAACCTGACATCAGCTGATTATTTAACATTATGATTAACTTGAAAGATGATGAAACAAGTAAGCAAGAAAAAGAGTTAGTTGAACATGTGGTTTCAAGTTTGAAAAAGTCTCAAGAAATGTCCAATTAATTCAAATTGAAAGTCAGTTAACCTGGATAATAAAAAACATCAGAACTATTCTTTGCATAAACTTACTCTTTAAGTAGCTTCGCAGGGATCCTGTGTTTTTTCGATGACTTATTACTGTTCATGTTTTGTTCCTTACACTGCAGTTCCTCTGTTTCAGCTGGATAACCACCTATATTTTCTTGAGGTAATGTAATCTTCATGGATGAGATAATTTTTTCTGTGGTTGTTTCAAGCTCTTGCTTTGTCTGAATATTTGAAATATTTTTAGTGAGCATATAAGAATAGCTTAATTGTGCACATGCTTGCTTACTTGTAGACCTAGCAAACTGTTTCATCAGCAAACTAGAAGTGTTACATATTACCACCTATACCTATGATCTTTAATTGCTCTTTTCCTTTAATTTAGCACAACTAGTTGTTAACCTTAATTTATTATGGATTAATGTTAACCCCGTACATGACAATACAAAACATATGGTAAAAAACAGTTGGTAAATCACAAAAAAAATAACTCTAATGCTTTCAACAAGTGAACCTCTTGAAAACACTAGAAATTTTTAATGGTTTCAAACATGATTTATCATCCTTACAATTGTTTATAGGTTTGATATACACATTTTTATAAATGTTATTACCGGTTTTTTTCAGGTAAAGCATTCATACAAATACAACCCAACATATTTTCATTTAAACTTTAAAATAGGTACTTCTAAATGTAGTCTACATAGAAAATGGTTTTTGGCAGCACTGAATAATACATAAAACAGAAGTACATGAAGTTTCCATGTATAACATTTGTCTTAATAAAAAAATTAATTCATAACCTTCTTAAACACACAAGCAAGAATAGCTTCAATTAAGAAAAAGAAACCTTAATTCAACAGCTAAATAGTGCCAAGGATTCAGAATCTAGTAAACAACAAAATGGTGTTTAAAACTTAATTAGATATAGATACTACTCACTTCTTCAAGTGTGATACCATGACTCTTAACCATTTCCATGCAGGTGTTGAGTTCTTTCTGTAGACATTCACACTGAACCATCGCAACCTGAATAGCACTGAAAACATATACACAACATTTCTTAGTCCAGAATCATTCAGTAATTAACAGTATTTGAAATCTGCATAGCTCCTCCACAACCACACTCAAATTATAAACTACAGATAAATCGACCAGCTCAAATGAATGTTCCTATAAATCCAGTTAAAATCAACAAGCAAATAAATCATGGTGTTATAGATGGAAACTGTATCATGTTGTCAAAGAGCATAAAAACATAAACAAATAAATAAGTTTTACAAATGTATGGACTGTTACATGGACTGTTAATCCTCTCCTTACAGGCTTAGCCAAATCAGCAGAGTTTGTGACCCCAAATTGACCTTTATAGTTTCCATATTACAACATCTACTTAGTATTGTGTATCTTCACAAAATTTCACAAACTTTTAGTAAGCATTAAGTCTTTTGCAGACAAAAAATGAGAATTTTTAATGAAGTATTTTCATTAAAACTTTCTCTGTGAATATATAGAGTCAAGATGTTGACTGCTCCGAGTGCAAAGTGATTTTCATGTTATGATTAAAAATATTTTTCTTCAGATAAAAATTCTCAAATTTTGTTTACGTAATCTATAAAATCTCCTAAATAAATTTCAAACTTTTTTTCAGTAAAACTTTATACTTTATCTGTTATTTTCTCTACCCTATCTCTACACAAGGTTGGTCAATTTGACTGACCACATAATCACCATATAAAATACTAAATTAATTTAAATTACCCTTTTTTACTTTCTATAATGAATTCAAATTATAACATGAAACCACATTTGTTTATCCTAAGTAGCTTTAAACCCACGACAGTATACATCTGCTTCTGTTTATATTTTATTGTTTTATTGCCCTTTGAACAATGTCTAACTAATATTCCCACCACACAGATTGTAAATCATTTGATGAACGTATAGCTCACATTACTCTATCGAATTATGTAATGCGAGTATACCTCATGAAAGTTTATTGTTATTTATTTTACCTAATCTAACCTAAAAAAGTTTCCAATGTTTATATTTTAATTACTTTTATGATAATAAATAAATACACATGAAAACCAAGAAATATAATACTTTTTCTTTGCTGTCGACAACACTTAACCCTACTTTTTCATACTAATGGTACTACTTGCACTAATTAATTTTTTATATAATTAAATAATGAACCAAAGAACACAGAATAATAATATGCAAAAAGCTGACAATGTCACATAACTAACACAATTTTCCTAGCTTTCTAACTATGCAACAGAAGAGCCGTTAAAAATTCAACCAAGATCACTGATGGGTTTTCCGTGGGAATAAAGTTTGAACTGGAAGCGAAATACAGAAAACAATGTAATACATCATTGGATAGATTAAAATTTGGTTTTATATTGGTTATAAATAATACAGTACTAAACTTCTGGTAGAACTATTGACTATCTGTGAAAGACATGATGTGACAGGTGGGTGTAACAAGAGGGGTGTGATTTTTTAGATTATGGCTCTGTAAGTCTTATAAAAATTATGCTTTGTCTGAGCAATGACACTATTATAATGAGTATTTTATGTTAGATTTTGTACTTATCATACTAGTAAAAATTGAGAATTTTTGAATATTCTCTTATAAAATTAACAATTTAAAATTTATATAATATTAAACTTTGGATTATTAGCTACATTTGATGCCAAATTTACTTTAATACCATGATAATAAGGTATTTTAATAAAAATTTTGAATGTTACTCAGTAAAACCTTATGACATACACAGAAAAGGATGCCTGTATGGAAAGAATTAAGGAATTTCAAGATCTAATAAATAGCTAATGTTTATAACTTTCTATACTCTATCACATCATTATTTAAGTCTAAAAGCTTTTAAAATGGTTTATTAAATTTTCTCAGAAAATTATAATAACAAATATATAAAGAACTCAGATGAAACAAAAAAGAATTAATTTTATAACCTGTCACGTTTATATTTATGTAATTAGTTTTGAATCAACTGAAATATGATGAAATTCACAGAATAAAATTAAGCTTTAGGGTTGACAATAATCAAACTATAAAATATACTTACAGTAAGTGATACATGGTTTTAGGAATGCTAGAGGTGAAATGTTGTTACCAAAGTTATTATATATAAATGTTCATTAGCATCACTCTAGCTGATCTAGTCTGTAGCTCTACTTCTCAGCCAGTCTTGGTACAGGATCTGTTAACCAATGTGAGCAAGTATGTCTCACATCACAGTCTGAACAGTGGTACTTTTAGATTGTTTCAAGTTGTTCAAGCGGTTTCAGATCACAGTTTGTACATTGATAATGTTAGATTGTTTCAAGTTGTTTAAGTGGTTTCAGATCACAGTTTGTACATTGATAATGTTAGATTGTTTCAAGTTGTTTAAGTGGTTTCATATCACAGTTTGTACATTGATAATGTTAGATTGTTTCAAGTTGTTTAAGTGGTTTCATAGCACAGTTTGTACATTGATAATGTTAGATTGTTGTAAGTTGTTTAAGTGGTTTCATATCACAATTTGTACAGAATTATTGTTAGATTGTTTCAAGTTCTTGAAGTGGTTTCATATCACAGTTTGTACATTGATAATGTTAGATTGTGTCAAGTTGTTTAAGTGGTTTCATATCACAGTTTGTATAGAATTATTGTTAGATTGTTTCAAGTTCTTAAAGCACTTTCAGTTAATACATTTTTTTTGAGAAGTTAATATTTTTCTGAGCCACAAGTTTACACACATAATAATACATCTTATTTCACAATAAGAAACCGAGAAATATACTCACTTGTACCAATCATCCAATTTTTGAGACACTTGGTGACAAGCTTTCAAACACGTATCTTGAAGAAGTGAAAAAAGCTTCTGTCCAGTCTGCTGTATTTTTATTCTTTAACAAGTGGAAAATAAAACAAAATTATTCTTCATTTCGGTAGAAACTGCGAAGAACAGAAAAGTTTTGAAATATACCGTCTCTATGACTATTTTAATCACAAATGTATCACTCAGTAAAACAAACACTAAATAGACACCTCTGAAATATTTTCTATTCAAAATTTTTCCAATACAGTTTAATATTCTGCAATTGTTAATAACATTTAACTATTTATAGAAAATTCAAATCATTTGTAAATGATTTAATATAAGACAAAAATAATAAAATCATCATTAAAACTTAAAATTCTACCATTTAAGTATTTACATCAAATTTGTTTTATAACACTCATCATTTAATCTTTTAAAATAAAAATTGTAATTTTTGGCAATTTTATGTTGTATCTTTTAATGTTTTTCGTGATAAGTATTATTCTTTAATTTTGGCAAGATGTAAAAATGTCACTAAATATTTTTTGATTGAAGTAAGAAATTATTCTTCAAACATTCCCTTTTGAACAAAAGACTGAATCAGTTCCTAATAAAACAACAGTATTTGTTTTCTTAAATATTTTTGTTTGTTTAAACTTAAGCACAAAGCTACAAAATGGGCTATCGGTGTTCTGCCCACCACAGGTATCGAAACCCGGTCTCTAGCGTTGTAAGTCTGCAGACATACCGCTGTGCCACTGGGGGCTTTCTTAAGTAAAGGCTAAAAGCTACTCCTTACTAAGCATTGGTATTGACTTTCTCAACTAATGGTTGATTTAATTACTAACAAAGAAAATGCTACTTACTTTTCCAGAATATGAAACTGTTCATCACTGTAAGACAGAGCTGGAAAAAAAAGGAATAAAATGTTAAGAGATAGTTTATCACTCTTTAGACGTGTAAAATATAATGATGTAATTTTAGTAAAGTAAACAAGTCTAGGATTGTGAAAATGTTACAAATGAAGTGCTGATACACTGTGGTTTAAAAGAAAATAAATATTAAAATAAGTAGAAGATAAAGCAAAGTAGGTTATTTCTGCCACATTATGACATATTCAACTACTTTTGGGGAATTGCTAACACAGAGAACTGTCTATTAGTGTATCTTTATCAAGGAAACACCAAACAGATGTAGACAGTTCACCACAGAGTCCTTAATCCATCCCTACACTACACAAGTATAAGGAAAAAATTTATCGCTAAATAAAAAAAGCTACGTAGGGCTGGCTATTGAACTTAAAAAAAGGAACCACACAAGATAGGGATGGAAGTGGACATATCACTTGATTGGCAAATGATCACATAGAAGACTAAGATGCCTTGACTTTAACTGGAGAATAAAATCCTTACATTACTGGCCTCTCCACTTTGTCTATAGAAAGTTTGGTGTTTGAATAGAATCTCAGATTTCATCATTATACCTTTCCTTTAGTTAACTTTAGAATACTACTTTTATGTCTAATTTACAATAGAGTAACATTTTACGATTGAAATTCTGGTTCTATCTGTTTTGCCAGTGAGGTAGCCAGAATTGTAGGGATTTTATTCTCCATGTAAATTCGATACAACTTAGTCTGCTATGTGATCATTAGCTGATCAAATGATATGTCCACTTCCATCCCTATCCTATTTGGTTCCTTTTTTCAAGTTTAGCAGCCATAGCTTATTTATTTAGCAATACATTTTTTCTTTATACTTGTTTGTTTACTTTTTTATGAGATGGCATATGTTACACATAGAGTATATTTTAAAGCTTTATAAGTTTTGCAAGAATAATAATAAAATAGGTAGTCAAAGATTGTGAAGACTGTTTTGCTCTATCAAATGATAGTAAAATTATAGTTACTGCTAGAACTAACTAGGTGCTAGGCCTGTTGAAGAAATATAATGATGAATTAAAATAAGAAATTTCAGTTTTGAGCTACTTGCCAGTTTTGACTTTGTGACACTCTGGCAAACTGAAAAGCGACATATATACAGGAGATAGAGTGACTATACCAGGTAGCTCTTCGTATCTAGCTTCTCATGACCTGTTATGTGTACCAAATGTTTTTTTACTCCCTCACTTCATACATAATGTAGGGTTGGCTCCCTAAAGACATCAACTGTATAGTGTACAAAGCATTGAGTATTCAACATTGCTACAGTCATCTAATGTTTATCTATTATTCACCCTGTCCTTAAGCTTTTTAAAGGAACCCCAGTTTTCTATACGAAAGTTAACTTCTAGGGGTAATAACATCGTTTACACTAAAATTATGACTTTTTCTTTTTTTTTAATTTTGTATAGAATAATAATAAAATAGGTAGTTAAAGATCGTGAATATTGTTTTCCTCTATCAAACGATGATAAAATTACAGTTACTGCTAGATAATGTTGAAGAAAGATTATGATGAACAAAAGTTATAATTTTCATAAATGAAAATGTATTTCTGATAAGTACTTCCCTCTGCTCACAAGGTTAGTTTTTTTCAGAAATGCATGCTACAAGCCTTTGACATCCTTCTGTTGGAATCCAAAGTTCCAACACATCTCTCATGCAAATCATCATGTGTCACTTCTCCACCAATAGGAGATAACTACTATCACGTGATCCATCTGACTCCTACACGCCACTACCAAATTATCACTTCGAAGTTTGGCAGAAGACGCGAGAACCAGAAGATTGTGGGGAGCACAGGTGGGAAGTATCTAACAAAAATACATTTTCACTTAGGAAAATTATAACTTACGATAAGATACTCTCCCTTCACTCACAAAATTAGCTTGAATCCCACACTGAAATAGAGGAGGGACCTGTACAAGGAAAGCACAGGCGTATTCCCACGGAAGTGTCCATAGTACACCCCTGAAATGAGAGGAAGAGATCAGGAGGGGCACTGCACCACATCTGAACCAGGTATCTCTTCGACAGGAACACTGAAACAATCAGGAGAACCAGACATGGTGGAACAAGAAGGGAGCACATCCACATAGGAGAGAATAGTTAAGCAATGTGATCTTAAACAGAAATTAGAATTACGCTATCCCACGATGGAAAGTGGCCAAGTGAGGATGTATGCCATGGTATAGAGTTGCTAGGGCACGACAGACCATACTCGGTAAGTCAACCACATTCAAAACCTCACTTGCTGGGTCCCGACATCCTCATGAGGGTAGGATGAGGATCATACGGTCTTCACCTCAAGTTCCAGAGTCAAGAGGGAACCTAACATTCGACTCCAGGAACTTATGTGATTGGTTCACTCGATCTCCAAAACCTCACTCACTAACTGGAATAAACATTGAACCCAATCGGTCAGAGTAACCAGGGAAAGATCATGGGAAGAGGAAGGTTGCCAAGGGATAAAAAGGCAGGAATGAGGACTCTAGAAGGAAGCCGTACAAGCAATATAACAATGAAGGGCATGGACAGGACAGAGGAGTCTATCTAGATTAGAACAAGGGCAGAAATGATATATAGGATAGGTAGATAGGGGGGAAAAGGAAGACTGACCTTCTTGATCCTCGGAGGTCTTAGGAAGGAAAGCACTATCTGGATAAAAGATAAATTAGGAGGAGTGGTAAAAGGTACTGGTAATGTCAAGGGCAAAAATATCCAACCTACAACATCCGCAGGCCATGAGGAGGAGGAGGAAATATGCCTTCAAAGAGAGATGAAACAGGGAACACGTAGACAGAGGTTCGAATGAAGGTAAAGTGAGGGCATGAAGGACCACGTTAATGTACCAGTTCAGGAGCGATGGATGCCTTGGTGGCTGAGAGAGCTGGAAGGAACTGATCAACAGGGAAAGCAAAGACCCTGTGGAAACTGGAAAAATGGAAGGAGACTGAAGAATCCCTCTCATAGAACCAGGTGAGAAACTCAGAGATACAGGCAACCATTGGATTAGAAGCCCAGAAACCCGCCGAGTCAATGCCCAGGAGCAATAAATGCTCCACTTGCATTGATAGATGGCCAAATGGAATGAACTAAATGTGAAGTTACTCTGCGAGAGAAACTAACTGGAGCTTCTCTCCAAGCACAAGATTAAGTGAGCCAGAAAGGAGCAATCAGAAGGGCCATAACCAGACGGGAGGCTAAACATAAAGGAACAGATGAAACCAATCCTGGCTGAAGGCATCGACAGCCAAGGCTCAAGGATAGGGAAAGGAGGACCAAAGAGAGGTAATTTGTGATTGAAGGCAGTGGCAAAGGCATTGATATGAGGCACTGAAAAACAGCAGGATGCAGGGAACACTCCATGAGATAAACACAATCTGGTCGGGGAAAATGATTGGCTACAATATTGAAAGTACGAGAGAAACTGGAACTCCTCTCCAAGCACCTGACAAAAGCCAGGCATGCAGTTGGAGGATGGATGGTGCAAGAAGGAGCACCCCAACTGTGACAACCGAACCAAATTAGTAAGGATAGAATGCTGATGGGCTGAGGCTACCCATGACTTCATAGACTCAGAAACCGAGTCAAACACATAATGATGCAAAAACGGCCCCATGTGGAGGTCCCTCAGATAAGGGGTCTGAAGACTGGTCCGCACCAAAACTGCATTACATCCCAAGCAGTCCCAACAAGAAGCAAACCATGTTTGAAGCGTGAGAGCTGAGGACAACAGACGAGCCAATGTAGAAATAAGGATGGAGAGGATTTCAGCAGAAAACCTCTTCGTGTTTCTGTGAAGAGCCGCTGACAGAAGGTGAACCTTAACTGGGTCATGAGGGTGAAGCAAAGGCAAGAAAATTGGGTTGGGTAAGTTGGACAAGGTAATCTTGGTTCACTCACTAAACAGGTAGAACCAACCTCAACAATTGTTGGTCGATAAAGGGAAATTCTGCCAGATGATAAGCAAGGGCAGATAATCTGAAGTCCATGGGGGATGAGACATACTAGTTGAGAGGCAAATCGTTCCATGTGAACCCTAGTATCGGGGGATGGGAGACAGACTAAATAGGATTGGAAGATTGTTTCATGTAAGAGGGAAGGTCTAGGGCCATAGGAAACAGGTGTAAGAGACAAAATATCCCATACCTGATAGATAAAGTCTGAAAAGACTGATGACAGACGAGCTGAATTATCAGATAGTGAACAGAACAGTGTAACAGTGTGGCAAACTCCAGGGAGGGGGGGGGGGACGATCAAAATCGCCATCTGCCTGGCCCAGCTCAAAAGGCTCAGGAGGAAGTGGGGGCAGATGTAGGTGAGAGAGGTTAGCTCATGTATCACTCAATCTCTTGGCGAATGAGCGATAATATATTCCCCAACAGGTAGCCCAGGCCCGTGGCTGAAAATATGGCATCAGATGCTGGCAAAGTACCTGTAACTTCGGAATCCATAAATGTGAAAAAAGCAGCAAACATGAGGAAGTAATGCTTTAATAAAAATATTAACTCCACAACTGTGAAGTGTAGTAAATAAAGATAAAGATAAATATAAAAAATGCAAAATAAAAAAATAAACCATTTCAAGGTAACTGAACAATGTAAGAAAGAACGTTTGAGCTCAACAGCTGCCAAATGAGAAGTGATAGTTCAGTAGTAGTGCGTAGATGGAATCACATGCATCATGTGATAGTAGTACTCTCCTATTGGTGGAGAGGTGATGCATGATGATTTGCATGAGAGACATGTTGGAAATTTGGATACCAACATACACATGATGAAGGCTTGTGGCATGCATTTTTGAAAACAGCTAATTTTGTGAGCAGAGGGAGCATATACACTGTAGATGGAGCAACTATGCCAGGTAGCTCTTCATACCTAGATTCTAATGACCTGTAGAGAAGAAAATCCAGATGACTTTTGTATTGCATTAATATGGGTATCGATGTTAAACAGTGTTTGCACACTCTATAATACAGCTAGAATAATATATTACTGATACAGCATCATTAGATCTATATCTTTATCAAGGAAATACCAAACAGACACCTCACCACAGACTTCTTAATCTATCCCAACAATACAAACAGCTAGAATAATATGTTCCCAATACTTATCAAGGAAATACCAAACAGATGTAAACACCTCACCACAGAGTTCCTTAATCAATCCCTACATACAGCTAGAATAATATGTTCCCAGTACTATATCATTACACCTATATCTCTATCAAGGAAATACCAAACAGATGTAGACACCTCACCACAGAGTTCCTTAATCAATCCCCACATACAGCTAGAATAATATGTTCCCAGTACTATATCATTACATCTATATCTTTATCAAGGAAATACCAAACGGATGTAAACACCTCACCACAGACTCCTTAAACTACATACAGCTGGAATAATATGTTACTGATGCTGCATGATTAGATTTAATATCTGAGTAAGGCTTAAGTATTAATTTACATGTAATGAAATCACTCTGACCATTTTGGGATAGAACAGTAGAAAAACTGACAAAAAATATACTTAAAGAAAAAGTAGCAATACTACAGATGCAAAAAATACAGTAGATAATAATTCTTTGTTAGACTTTATGTCTTTATCTAGGTGGTTATATCAGCAATGGTTAAAGTTTCTATTTAGAACTTCAAGATTCTGTCCCAAGAGAAGCAATGACAGATGGATTGTTGTGAAGAAAAAGTGTTAGTCCTTTTCAAGTTTTTCCACATCAGTACCAAAAACAAACTAAACAGTACGACCCCTCTAACCATCAAGTGAAACAGAAACTTAAAACTGGGAAGGATATAAGAACAGCTCTGACAAAATAAAAGTGTGAATGAGGAAAGTTTCCTTTCTCTTTCTTCCTAAATTTTTAAAGTTGCTTACTTCGTGCTGCTTTATCTCGTACCAGTGACTGCCAACTTTCTCGTATTTTCTGGACGTGAATAGATGCCGTCTCCACACTGAAAAGGATTTTAAGTTTTCCAACACTAAGTTTAAACATTTGAACACAATCAAACAGGAAATATTTGGCATATACACAAAAAAAAAACTATGAAACTGAGAAAGTAAATTAGATATCAAATCAAAATCTATTTTCAATACATTTGATATAAAGTTGAGTGTAAAAATTATAATCTGTAAGTTATATTTTCATAAATGTTAATGGTATTATGTTTTTTGGTGATTCATAAATAAATTTTAACTGATACATACGCATCTTAAATATACATTTTTCTGTGATAAAAATGGTAGCTTTTGTTCATACATACATACTTACAATGTAAGCACATATCACACCTGTAAAAAACTGTACAAAAAGCCAGGCAACAAAAACATTCTACTTTAAACTTTGGAGTTTAAGTGTAGGATAATATGATTTAACCTTGAAAACTGACATACACAAAACAACACTGACACACCTTGATACCACTACTGACAACACTAACACACCTTGATCCCACTACTGACAACACTGACACACCTTGATCCCACTACTGACAACACTGACACACCTTGATCCCATTACTAACTACACTTTCACACCTTGATCCTGCTACTGACAACACTGACACACCTTGATCCCACTACTGACAACACTGACACACCTTGATCCAACTACTGACAACACTGACACACCTTGATCCTGCTACTGACAACACCGACACACCTTGATCCTGCTACTGACAACACTGGCACACCTTGGTCCAACTACTTACAACACTGACACCCCTTGATCCCACTACTAACAACACTGACACCCCTTGATCCCACTACTAACAACACTTTCACACCTTTGTCCAACTACTGACAACACTGACACACCTTGATCCTGCTACTGACAACACTGACACACCTTGATCCTGCTACTGACAACACTGACACACCTTGATCCTGCTACTGACAACACTGACACACCTTGATTCTGCTACTGACACACCTTGGTCCAACTACTTACAACACTGACACACCTTAATCCCACTACTTACAACACTGACACACCTTAATCCCACTACTTACAACACTGGCACACCTTTGTCCAACTACTGACAACACTGACACACCTTGGTCCAACTACTGACAACACTGACACACCTTGATCCTGCTACTGACAACACTGACACACCTTGATCCTGCTACTGACAACACTGACACACCTTGGTCCAACTACTGACACACCTTAATCCCACTACTTACAACACTGACACACCCTCATCCCACTACTTACAACACTGGCACACCTTCATCCCACTACTGACAACACTTACACCCTTGATCCCAATACTAACAACACTGACACACCTTGGTCCAACTACTGACAACATTGACACACCTTGACCCCACTACTGTTGAAGATGATTGAGCTACATGCAGAAACACTAGGAAATAGGGAATTTACCATCTAGACAAGATAACACACTGGCAGATACTTTGTTCCCACTGCTGTTGAGCATGCTTTCCATACAAGAACTTATCTTCAACTGACTTGATCCTGGCTTTAAGAGACTTGACATGATTCTGTACCTGTGATAAGTACAGTAATAAATGTGTATTGAAAAGCACAAAACTGGATTCATCTATCACAGAAAATTACCATAAAACCACAAGTATATTTTGCCATCAAATGTGAAAATGTAAATCACAGTAGGAAATAATTGTGGATGGTGAAGTTGATATTCATCCTGGTATTCTGTATACATATTGATTTAATTTTTATTTAAGTTGAAGACGTGAAGAAACTTTATTCAGATATATTGAAAAGACAAAAAAAGTCAATACATTTTTCAGCTAAATCTTAAAATGTGAACAATTACAGTATGTATAAGGATGAACCAGAGGCCACAATTTTGGGTTTTGTCACTCGTAACACATAAGTTTATTATCAACTTCTGAGTAAAAATAAAGACAAATGTATAATAATATGTTAATCACACTATATCTGTTATATCAAGAGCCAAAGTGGCCTTTTAGGCCAATTCCAAGGTTTTACACATTGATAGGAATACAACAAACATAGTAGTGGTTGAGAAGCTATTTATATTAGCAAATTTCTTGACAACAATTGTTATGGTGTGAACTGAATGAAGTTAAAGAGGTGTAATTTGTCATCAATTTTCTTTACATCACAACACATGAGAATTAGGGTATGGATTACTTAGCACTATTTTATTATTTGTTTCAACACCATATACTGCTTTCTTGAATTAACCTGTTCATTATTCTTAAGAACTGACAAATCAACATATTAGTTTGTTTGAACTCTGTAAAAGATAATACTTCATCAGTTGAAAGCGAAAGTTTTAGAAAGCAAACACCCCAAACTTTTCCTAAGAAAATGTGTATCAGTTGAACATAACATAACAAGTCCATCGATACAAAATGTTGCCCATTTAACACTCAAGGTTACTACTCTATATAAAATATTCAATTTAACAATCACTTTCCTTCGTTTACTAATATCTCACAACAAAAACTTGTATCACATATGGAAATAAGTGCAGGTTTTATACATAAGAATGGAACATATACTTACAGCTGCTTGACTTTCTTTCTTAGATGTGATCAGCCCAGTCAGCTGGTCCAGGTCACTCTGTGCTGTATGTTTGTATGGCCACAACTCAAGAATTTTTGCCAGTAAAGTTTGTCTGAAATAATTATGATAACTGTGGATACAGAGGAAATATTTCTACAAATTTACAAACAAATAGAACATAATAGTTTTATTACTAAAAACTTGAATACTTTTAGTCAAACACTTACAGTACATAAGCTGAATTCCAAGTTACAGGTAAATAATGGCAATTAACAGGATAATGTTGTTTAACAAACATAACACACAATATCTTGGGCTTATATAACCATAATATGTGTAAAAATAATGCTAATCGCATGAAAGACTTGAAGGTTTCAAACTGTCTTGAGTCATTAACCCTATTCGGTGACGGTACCTGATGATGACAAAACCTCGTCGAAACGTTGTACATTTGCTGTTATGTTAAACTTATATTAAAGTTTTCTTCATTACCCATTCAAGCTGTCTCCAACCATCATTAACCCTATGTATATGAGTAAGGTCAAAGTGTGAAAATCATGACATTTTTATACAGAGCTGCATTTAAAATTTAATTATCAATGTATGTCAATAACCTGTCTTCAAAACATAGTTTATAAATCAAATTTAAATATAAGTTTTAATATATTAATTCCAAATTATTAAATATTAAATTCTCAATCTACACTTCTCTGTAACACATGACACTTTATCATTCTGAACGGCACATTTTAAAATTTTTTTCCACCCCTGTATGATCTCTTCTAGGTTTTCACAAATTACACACTTATACTATGGACATAAACAAGCTAAAAGTCAATCTTTAGCTTCTAAGCTTCTTGCTTTTCTGAAATTTACATGCCACACAATAGAGACAGAAGATTCAAATCTACTTAATATGATGCACCTAGAAGTCACTGAGATAACTAGTTTTGAAAAATTCTCTTCCAGTTTCTTTGTTTGTCAATGTTGGAACTCTCCTTGACCAGTTACTGGAATTATTTATAGCTTAGTTACAAAGCCATTTAAATTATTATAGTTTTCTGACATCTATTTTATGTGCATGACAATATTCTGTATTCTAAGTTGTGTATTTGAGTTAAAAAATAATAATATTAGATATCAAAGGTCTCACAAAAAAAATTAAGCCTACTGTTCCTCAGTTGAAAAGATCTTACATGTACGAGTGCAAGACTCCAGACTTCAGTACTAAATTTCTTGTTTTATATGTATATATTTCATTTATTGTTATAAAAGTAAATCAAATGTATAAATTAGGAACCCATTAGGTTAGAGAACTTTAAATGAAATGAAATATACAAATTACTAGTGGCACTAATAGCATGTGCACATCGCAATACACGAGTGTGAAATTCAGTTAATAAGACGTCTAAAGTCAACCAATAAAAATATAACTTTAACTGGTACAAATAAAGGTCACTGTTGGCATACGTGCTTCCTTCAGTGAGTATTAAAGAATAACTTAGCAAGTTTTTTTTATAAGATATTTAGCAATTATTAAACTTTTTCCAATCTACCTACCTGTTAACAAACATCTTTAAACAGTTGTCTAAATTATTAGCAGTTTCTTCTGTTTGAGAAAGTGTTGTTGTCAGTAGTTTCACATCTTCACTGATTAAATTTCTAAATATAAAAAAAATCTTCTTGTATCACGTGCTCAAAACTTAGAAACACAATGTCGATAATAATTCCAGAAACTACACCCAAACTTCTTGATTTCATGTACATCATTTCATGCAGTTTTAAAATGTTTAAATAACACTAAGTTCACAAATTCACCCCTTTGGATCACCCAATTTTAATTACTCTTAATTGTCTGATATTATTCAGGACATTTTAAGTGAAAATGCAAATCACCTAAAACAAGGTGTCACTACTTAAAATACCTTGAGCAATTACATAGGCATATAAAAATGTACCATCACACTTTGTAACCTGAAATTTAAACTGTTATGTTTTCTGAGAAATTATTAAGAGTTCCCCACAAAATGATCATGAAGGATTATAAACACAGGGATCAACATTAAACAGAGCAACAACTATTTATCCAAAAAACACGTTGGTTCAAGAAGCTAATTAAACACAAAAATATGATACCTTAGTGCTTTAAAAAAGTTGACCTTTCTTCTTCAGGGGTCAAACATGAAGAAGAGAGGTCCACCTTTCAAAAGTGTTCAGGTTATAAAGAATTGTATCTTTCTGTTAAACTATTTGTCTAAATTATTCTAACATGAAAAGTATATCATAATCTCATGAACCAAGCCCTTCTTAATCCCCTGAGAAAAATTAGAAAAGTAAGTCTTTATGATTTTTATTTATTAAAACTGCTTTCATAAAAAGTTCATTGCAAAAATACAGAAAACAAAATTGTAAAACTAAACAAATTCACATGGAAATAAAACAATTTATACATCTCAATAATTTCTGTTATAAATATCGTAAAAGATAGTATTTGTGTTTAAGTTAACTTAGCTAAAAAATACCACAATGTTAAAAAGTGCACAATAACATATTAAAATGGTTCCAGGCTCAGTTTTTGCCTCACTGAATCATGTAAAGTTCTCCAACAAGCCTGTTGTCAGTTTAATGAATTCATGTGCACTTTTTCACATAAAATTGTTGTGTTTTAAATTTGTTTACATTTTTTTATAATCTGACTCCTCTTACTTCATAATTTCAGCTACAAATAGAATTCGTTTTAAGTAAAAACAACTTACATTAAGATGTTTGGGATTTTAAGTACAACCAACTTACATTAAGATGTTTGGGATTTTAAGTACAACCAACTTACATTAAGATGTTTGGGGTTTTAAGTACAACCAACTTACATTAAGATGTTTGGGATTTTAAGTACAACCAACCTACATTAAGATGTTTGGGGTTTTAAGTACAACCAACTTACATTAAGATGTTTGGGGTTTTAAGTACAACCAACTTACATTAAGATGTTTGGGGTTTTAAGTACAACCAACTTACATTAAGATGTTTGGGGTTTTTGTTAGAAAAGTGTAACATCGGTCTGATCTTTCTACCAATCTCTGTACAGCATGAGCAACACTACAACAGATCTTTGCCAGAGAAGCATCATGCTCGAGGTTGACAGAGGCAGTTGGAAATGTTGGGAAACGAGCTGTCAGATGTCCCAAACCAGCGTGTGCCGTAACTTCCGTAATGTCACGATGCAGCAAGAGCAAGGGATTTCTGGAGGTTGTCTGAGGATATTCCGTAAGTTGAGCATCGGCATCCACATGCTTCTCTAGCCTGTCATTCTGGTAGAGAATGAGTTGACTCTTAGGTTGAATGCTTGTCTGTATGCTGATTTTCTCTTTTAGATCAAGCAAACTGAAATTTAAAATAACTTCTTTGACCCTCAAAACGCAAGATTTGTGTAACAGGTAAAGGCATCAAAAACATACTTTCACTAACATCAGTCAGTAGAATAAGCCTATAGTTGTTTTATACAGGTATCTCAGAACACCTTTTGAAATATACTATGCTATAGTATATAGTTCCAACTCTGGAAATGCAACAAGAGCTTCAGAACAGGAGTTATTTCTAGCAATTTTTAAGAAGCACAAGTGCTGATTGACATATCAAATGTGAAAAATGTTTTTGTTTATCTACATTGCACACACAACTATTCTTTACACCTACAAACAATACTAGTTTCTACATTTGATATTCTACACATAACAACAGTCATTATGGTAGATACAACAAACCATTACACCATATTTGCCCAAATATAATGCACACTTTTTCCTAGAAATACCTCCCAAAAAAATTTGAGCATGTATTATAACATTTTATTCTTGCATGTTCAAATTTGTTAGGTATTCTACTGGAAGCTACCACCACAAATCATTAAAGCATCAATAAAGGTTTCATCAAAAAATGTTTCATCTCCAATTCAATGGATGGGACGAATGATGACATGCTGTGGGAATTAGTAAAGGATGAAGCAAATCCAATGGTAGCAACAATTCTGGTGATGACAAAGATTTATGTGAAGATGAATGATTAGCTTAGTGTATTACCACATGTAAACTTTTCAATAAATTTTGGAAAATTACATACAAAATGTTCCGTGAAAGATTTCCAAAAACGTTTAATACCTCGATAGTTGTTTACTGTATTTATAAACTATTCAATACATTTTGTACAACTGATGTGCAAAAAAACAAATTTTCTTCATTCAATATAACCTGTCTTGGGGGCACATTATATTCTGGCAAGTACAGTATTTGAAATGTTTCATCAAAAACAAAAGTGTTTACAGTTGGTATGTTTACCTACAAATAAATTAGTAGAGATGGTAGGTATGTCGGTATTTTAAAACAAAAGTTATGTTTAATAAAGACATGTTGAGCCACATTTTAAACTCTGTGTGATCTTTAATTGTGAAATAAGGCTGAATTTATGTACTAACCTTTTATTCGTATCCATGTATACAGAAAATTCCTTCCCTTCATTGACATAAAAAATGTGAAACACTTTTTTGGACAAGATTTTGGTGACTTCACTAAAGAATTTATCAAAGGTCCAGATCTTTTCTGGATCACATTCCAACAGTCCAGCAAGAAGTGGTGTGATCAATTCACATAAACCTCTGAAGGGTCAAAGATATTGTATTAATCAAATGAAATACATTTCAATATAAATTGTTATTTTGGTGATTAATAAAATAAAAGTATATATATCATTACCTTTCATAATTTTGATATAATTAACAACCACTTTATGGAATAGAAAAAATGTTTTTAGTAGTATTTGATGGAGCACTTCTCAGTGCCTCAACTTCTAAAAGAATAATCAACTTTTTATACAAACCCAATAATATTTTTATAAGACCATGTACTTTTAATTTACAAAAAACAAAAAAGTTATTTGCTCAACACCATGTGTCTTTCATGCCACCATCTAATAGCCACAATAACTTTACAATAAAACAATCTTAGCATACATTAGCAGGGCACTGGACAATAAAGAAGACTTACTAGCTCAAAAGACAGGATTTTGGGCTTAGTGACTGAAATGACAGGATTTAGGACTTACTGGCTCAAAGACATGATTTTGAACTTAATGGCTCTAAAGACAGGATTTAGGACTTACTGGCTCAAAGACATGATTTTGGACTTAATGGCTCTAAAGACAGGATTTAGGACTTACTGGCTCAAAGACATGATTTTGGACTTAATGGCTCTAAAGACAGGATTTTGGACTTAATGGCTCTAAAGACAGGATTTTGAACTTATTGACTCAAATGACAGGATTTTGGACTTACTGACTTAAAAGACAGGATTTTGGGCTTACTGACTCAACTGACAGGATTTTGGTCTACTTACTGACTTAAAAGACAGGATTTTGGACTTACTGACTTAAAAGACAAGATTTTGGACTTACTGATTTAAAAGACAGGATTTTGGACTTACTGATTTAAAAGACAGGATTTTGGATACTTACTGACTTAAAAGACAGGATTTTGGATACTTACTGACTCAAATGACAGGATTTTCGGCTTACTGACTCAAATGACAGGATTTTGGTCTACTTACTGACTTAAAAGACAGGATTTTGGACTTACTGACTCAAATGACAGGATTTTCGGCTTACTGACTCAAATGACAGGATTTTGGTCTACTTACTGACTTAAAAGACAGGATTTTGGACTTACTGACTCAAGAGACAGGATTTT